AATGAGCTTGAGGTACACCATGTTGATGCAATTCCTTCTATTTCTGAAGAGCCAGATACAGAGTTAAAAAAAAATGCGTAAATTGCGAGAGATATGAGAAAAGTCTTTATAATGCATTTAAATCGATCGTAGAACTTAATGATTGTAATGAAGCTCTGCAAGCAAAGTGCGGTAATATTATTGAGCCTGTTGCAGATAAAGTCGATATAGATTAAGTAGTAGACATTATACGAGCACTACTAGCTAAGTTTTTATCTTTTCTTTTTATTTCTCGCTCAATTTGGGCAACTATATCTGTATTGGAAATATTATTTATACCACCCCCACTTATTTTTTCTGTAGAATCGACGTTATCACTAGATATTGGATCAGATATACGCATAAATTTAGACCGAGATTTGGAGCTTCTCTTTTTTATTTCTGTATTGAGGGGGGTAATAGATTCCAGATGTAGATTCGAAGAAACATGATTCAAAGAAGAGGCGGGGTCTCGAGGAAGCTGAGCTTCGAGTCTTTGTCTCAACTCCGATTCACCGCCTAAAGCCTTGCCTTGTAATAAAACCTCGCTTTCAATCCGATTAGAATGTTCAGGTAAGATTGTTGATATAGGTAATATTTCAGAGGAAATAGTATTTTGTATTATTTGTTGCTGACGTTCATGACTTTCCCATATATCATTAACTCGATTTTCATTAATATGGAAATCTCTTATTATTCTATATTTGGGAACCTTTCCCTTGAGCGTTCTAATTGTTTCTATTTGTTTAGAACTTAGAAATGTAGAACCTCGTCGATAATAAGATTTTAGATATGGGGTATCCATAGTTTGTTTTCTTATTGAATATTTAAAATAATAAAAAATAATATTTAATATTTTAGAATGATAAAAAACGATATATATTATTGTAGATAAATGAGAAATATTAACAAAATAAATATAAGGGGCTATGAATTGAAATATAGATAAAAATAATCACTATGTAACCTAATTCAATAATATTTAATATTATTTTTTAATAGTCTACAATATCTAACGTTAAATAATTATAGAAATTATTAACGAAGTTAGTTTTTATTAATATGGAAGTTCCGCATATAAGTCATAAATGTTCTCGATTTCTTTATCCCAGTTGGTATTAGTATTTCTTTGATAGCCTCACCGGATAGGTATGTTGCATTAGCACTATAATATTCTTTATGTATGCGTCCCATTTTATCAATTATAACTGATCTTTAATATTATTTAATATGGCTAATGTACATACACTACGAGATATTAGCTCTAATAAAGGTTATCACCTTGGCAGTATGCGTGAGCGAGAGCTTGAAGAAACTTTACACCGCAGCTTAAAGTCTATATCCGAGCTAAATGACTGTAATGAAGGGTTGCAATCTAATTACTTGAAACGAGTGAAGGCTTTTGATCGAGAAAGAAAGGGGTGGAATTGGGATTCATTACGAAATAATACCGAGATCCAAAAATTATGTACCCACACTTTACAAGTTATTAATGAGAATAAACAATTACAAAATGAAAATACTAACCTTATTTCTCATAATGCACAAAAGGATATTTTTATTGCTGAATCCAAGGCTGAGAATGTTACAAAATCCAAGAAAATTAGATCACTTGAATCTATGATCAAGATATTGGAAGGTAAGTTGGCATCGGCTCAGAAGGACGTAATCTCAACTCAGAAAGACTCAGTAAAAAAAGAATCCGAGATATTAACCCTTAAATCTGAATTGGCATCTAAAGTTAATGAGTTGGAGCATTTAAAATCAGAGGCTAAATCGAAACCCGTAATTGGTGGAGATGACGAAAAAAATACGCAGAGCGAGGAACAAAGTTCCATAACCAAGTCTGATGATATATCTACAGTATTGCAAAACAGACAGTTAGGCGATTCTTCAAATCATGACACTCACGTGTCTAGTGAGGAATCAGAGATTCGAGGCTATGCCTCATCCAGTAAAGATCTCAGACAATATTTTCTGTGCAGAAAAAATGATACCGAGATTATTCCCAAGGTAATTGATGAAATCGATATTAGTAAAAATAACAACAATATACTCCAAGAAATACCGAATGTGACTCCATACCTTGCACAGCCAGAAAATGATACACACTCTTTGATTAGATCACATCCTCAGATTTTGATGGGAGGAGTAGAAGCGATTCCTGTTATGGCGAGCACTTTGATGTCACTGCTATCGGCATATATGTTACTTGCTTTGTTGATTATTGCAGTTATGTGGTTCGTGGTATTGAGACGTACATGGGGATTGAAGAGGAAAAGTGAGCGGTTGCGAGATGCATGGGCTGGATAACCAAGACTATCTATTTGAACTTGGATATTATTTATGTACGAAAAAATTTAATTCTATTGTATAGGTATCTTAGTAGAGTATGATATGATATACATGGGATGTTTAGAAAAAGAACATATCTCAAAATAATTCATACAAATTATATAACTCGCATTCTATTTCATCAATAATACCACTAAGCGAAAAAATGAGTTCTTTATTAGTTCCAAAGTTCAAATTGAAATAAACTAATTTAAATGTAATACATAACAGATAATGATAGTTATATAAGTATTATTTAGTTTATGCTGGGACTTGTTCTTATAATAAGAGCATTTCTAACACCCATTTTATTTTTTTTTATTATTCAAATGTTTTTTAATTTCGCTTTTTAATTTCCCCCCTTCATCAGTAAGTTCTCGTACTCTATTTTCTGCTTTTTTTTTTAAATCTTTAGGCCAGGTTGAAGTATCTGTAATTCCCCAGGTGTATAGATTAACATCAACAATATTTTTTTTTTTGCCCCAAATCAGCTAATTTTTTGGCTTGTTCGTTAAGGAGGGCAAGTTCCTTCATCTCTTTTTCTATTTTTTTTTGATAATCTAATTAAAAGAGATTGATTAGGCGGTTATGCTAATATACTGTAACAATATTAAAGAAAAAAATTACCTGACATATTTACTTTCTGAGAGTGGGAGAATATTTGAAAATAAGTCGAATAGTGTTTCTGATAAATGTAGAAAATGACTTGGATACTGAATGCATTTTTATCCTTTGTGGGTCAAAAACTCCTTTTATAAGGATCAAAAATACTTAATACTACATCTTTATTCTTGATGAGATGTAGATGAGATGTGGCTGAATGATAACGATGCTTTTATTTTGAGCAAATTAATATACTACATCACACATGATACATTGATTAAAAAAACATTAGGAGATTAAAAAAGAAGAAAAGCCCGATATGGGAAAACTTTATTTGATAAGCACATGTAAAGCGCCTCTGACTAATTCATTGACAGACGAAAATAATCTAAAGGGAAGGATTATCAAATATATATTTTTGCATTTCAAATTCTCTCACTGTCTGTCAGTGGAAATCACGTGAATGTGGCGCAGTAACTATGTAATGTGTAATTAATGTAGCTACGAGTCATTATTATTTCTAGCTTTATCTTCAAGTGTTTTCCCAATAGCAAACTGTACGGCACCTGCTCCAGCACCAGCATCGTTGGAAGTGTCATCGTTAGAATACGTAGAACGTAAGCGAGACATTGATATCAATGTTAATGTAATTATAACTTATACAGAGATAATGCAAACAAGGCCTTTTAAATCTGTTTTATCGAAAGTCACACACCTTATCTGCCAGCTAAATGTGGAAAAAGCTCTATCTATGATTGATAAACTGAATAAATTATTATGTACAAAAAAAAGTGCCTGTTACTACCAATATTGCTATTTCAGAAGAAGCAAAGTTTCGATGCTCTGCGTCATCTAGTATAAGAAAGTTCTTGCAATAGCATAGTTGAAAAATCTGAGACAAATTTATCACAATTGCCCTCTATAGTATCAACTCAAGATCAAACTAATAATTCTGAGCAATTCTTAAGCATTACTGAAGCTAAGAAAGAGTTACCTGAATCCTTAATTTCTCTATCTTCAGGGTTTCTCATTAAAAGTGAATCTGATATAGATACTCTTATCCTTCTTTTACAGCGAAAATTTCAAATGTCTCAAGAAAAGTTAGAACAATGGAGAACTAAGATTGCCTTTGAAATGTGGGATAATAATAATTATTGGAAAAAAGAGTGCGAGAGTATGAGTGAGGCCGACTTCTTAGAATACAAGCAAAATTTTGAGACTAAGATGGGCGTACCTACTACTCCGCACAAAAAAGAACTGAAAAATAAATCTTTGGCACTCATTGAATATGGATAAATATTGTTTCTAATCTGGAGAAAGAATTCAATAAAGAATAGTATTTCAAAATAATATGTTCTAGTTAGTAGAATACTCTGGCTGGGAGTATATTACTATATTTATCTAGCCATACATTTTGGGTAAAGGGATTTTTGTCACCTCTTACAATAAGTATAAGAAAAAATTCAAATCAAAAATTAATACTCTGATATCTAGATTATATAAAGAGGTTTTTGTGTTGCGTGATTTTGATTGAGATAAATTTCAGGTAAGTGCTTCTGATATATGAGGTACATATTCGATAACCATTTTTGTGTTGCACAATTTAGGTATTAATAAAAATGATACTTTAAGATATGAAAAAAATGATACTCCAAAGTTTTTGATATACGTGGGGTGGCTGAAAAGTAATGAGAAAATAGCTTTATTTCAAAAACTTTATTACAACTTTTAAAAAATTTTA